GCGAGGTCACAGAGGGAAACGCGCACCACCGACCTGAGTGTATGAAACTGTTGACGTGCTCCACCACCAGCTCGCAGGATAGGCCGATTGCGTGTTTGAAATTCGCTGCAGCCACGTCCCAATAAGAGTGGTCACCGTGGCTACGCTGCAGCCACAGTGACATCACGGGAAGCAGCAGCTGGATGACAGCGAAGATGCCAAACCCTGGACCTGGAGAGGCGAGATCAGGTTACATCCCGGCTGTTTGTAGGGTTTGTCTTCTTCTTCTTTGGATTGTGTTTAGGTTTCTCACCTGGCACTGCGGTGACTTCTCTGAGCAGAGTAAAGAGCAGCTCCAGCGTTGGAGGCTGGTGCTGTCGAGGGCAGTTGGACACGGCTGCGGTGAGCTGCTCCAGTAATAAAATCCACACCTGGATCAGACCTGCAGGACACGAGACAACAAACATGCGCTGACGAGAAAGGAGAGAGAAAGGAGGAGGATTCTTCGACGACACAAAGACGGAGCAAAGCGAAACCTGTGTCGTCATCAAACTCCTGGAGGACGCAGTCCACGCCGTCCTCGCTGCTGATCGAGCGCTCCTGCGATCTCATCGGCAGGCTGGCGAGCCGCGCGCCCAGGAACACCGGCTTAGACGGCATCTTGTAAATCTTTGCCAGCAGCTGTCAATCAAACGCAAAACACGGTTTCTTTTTTATAATAGCGAAAAATCGTAAAATATGCTCTCGCTTTATATCTGCGGAGCTTCCACCTGCGAGCATTTGCGGAGGTAGTCGAGAGCAGGCAGGCAGAGGTCGGTGGAGCTGTAACCTGACGCATGAACGCAGTCGCCAATCTCTTTGTAGTCCACCTCTCCTGCACGGAAAAGCATAAAAGTTCTCCGCAGTTTGAAAGGTCAGCTTTAACAAACACTTGGATGAGTTGTTGTTCGAGTCATTCAGAGAGAACGTGTCTCTCAAAAACACAGGATCGCTGTTTCTGCGGTGCTGTTTTCTTGATTTTGTCACCGACTCGCTGCTCGCCTCCCACTCACTCTCATCAGCACCGTGTTTCTCCTTCTGTGAGGTTTTAAAGCTTTTGATAGTGACGATTTTTCTAAAAACCTTGAAGTATCTTTCTAAAAGAAAAATTGCTTCCCAGTCATTGTTTAGGAATTATGAATGACCGGGATTTTAAAAACATAAAAGTAGCTTTTGTGTCTTGTGTGTCCTCTTGGTGCTTTTTTGTAAAACATTTAACGATGTACAGGAAGATAAATATGCATGAGAACCTCCCGTGCATTTGTGCATTTGGCCTTTTTTGATAAATAAAAGAACTAATAATAATAGCACATATCAAAATAAATTCTCAAATCTTAAATTTCTGCAGAAAACTGAAGCACTCAGCATCTGCAGACGCATAAATCCGCTCTCCTGATGTATTAAACTGTGACGTAAATACAAAATGTGCATGCATGTCACGAGCTTCTAATAAAGAGATAAATACATAGCCTGATCCCGGGAAAAATAAAATCCCGAAAGGCTTGAAAAGTAATATCTTGAAATGAAAAAGAGCACGCACACATAAGTGAGACAAACCTAATCCTTTGACAAACTTCATGAGACACATGATGTAGTCTGTGGCAGCGTTGGCAAAAACCTGGATGTTGTCAGTGTTTATGAACGCCTCAAAGACGTCGAACACCGGCGCCTGAGACTTCCCTGCAGGAAGACAATAAGACGAGAGGAGGAAACTCAGATTTACAGTAAAAATCTTTCTGCTGATAAACTTTGGAAAAAGGTTTGTTAGACATACCCATGGAGTATTCTCCCAGCAGGTAGTCTTTGGTGTCAGTCTTGCTACCGTGCACCGTCCTGAGGGCGCTGAACAGAGGCCTCCACCCCGACAGGATCTGAGGAGAGCACATCTCCACCAGCTCTCCGATCGATGTTATTACCTGCAGGGAGACAAACCCGAGAAAAACTGTTTGGCAAACTGAACGCACAAACCGGAACAACGCCGGCTGATTTGGATGTTTTGAGGAACTGAGCTCCGACTCCACCTGGTCCTGAACGTCCTCGTCGCAGAGCTCCAGCTGCATGATGTGCTCGAAAGGCCTGAACAGCGCCTCGTTAAAGTGGAAGTGTGGGAGCTCCGCCCAGCTCGTCAGCACCTCTGTGAGAACATCGTGGATAAAGGAAACGGCCTTCTGGGATACGTGGCGCTCTTTGTGACACGCAGCCTGTGATGACAACAAAAACGTTGTGTTTAAAGAGCCTCGAATAGATCAAAGCTTTTATTCTCTCAGTGCCTGAAGTGTACTGTGCGAGATAGAAGGTGGTCTACACAGATGTTACACAACTTCAATTCAGAGCCGCTACAATCCAAAGAAGATTCATTTCTGTGTGCAGTCACAGTTTTCTGGGAGCCCTTCACTCTTCCGTGTGCATACATAGAAGTATAAGGTGGTGACAGCAGGAGTAAGACAAGCAGACATTAGTGATTTGACACTGATCAGGTTAGAGACACCTTTAAACAGGGGTCTTGAACTCCAGGCCTCGAGGGCCGGTGTCCTGCAGGTTTAGATGTGTCCTTGATCCAACACAGCTGATTTAAACGGCTAAATAACCTCCTCAACATGTCTTGAAGTTCTCCAGAGGCCTGGTAATGAACTAATCATGTGATTCAGGTGTGTTGACCCAGGGTGAGATCTAAAACCTGCAGGACACCGGCTTTCAAGGCCTGGAGTTCGAGACCCCTGGAAGTGGGTGGAGGTGGGTTGCAAAGTGGCTTGGAGATACACAGGCAGGCATGTAGGCAGCCTGAGGTGCAGTGAGATAGTTGACCCAAACTCAGAAGACTGAGACCTGCCTGAACTACTGCGATGCTGCTGCTGTGAAGTAAATCTCCATAAAAGGAGAAGATTGATTAACCCGTATTTCACATGTGGCAGAATGGATAAACTGTTGGCTTTGTCTGTAGTTCCAACTCATGTGAGAGCTGCAATTAGAACTTCTGTAGTTACACAACTGTGCAACTGAGAGGTTGAGAAGTTAACAGAAGGTAGTAATATCCTACCTCCACCAGATGAGGCGCCACCACACTCCAGGCCCTCATCATGTGGAGAAGGGGTCGGTTCTTATTCCGGACGATTCGCAGCATGGCCTCACCCAGACGGAAGAGATGGAGGGCGCTGCGCCGGTCCAACGTTGACTTGGCTTCTCCTACAGACACGCAGAGGACACAAAAAAGGCCTCGGAGCTTTACTCCTGTCTGTACTTCATCTTTAATTAACTAGTTCACAACTATGCAGACCCTTGGGTCAGTGGCCAAGGCCTGAGATCGAGAAGGGCACAGGAAGGGACCGAGTATGTTTAAAGGATCATTTGTGAAAACTTTAAATCTGTGACGAATAAATGAGCCACAGATACAACACAAAACACAAAACTGTATTTGTTTAAAAGCTGAACATCACTCTCAGACATTCAGTAGAGAAATATGTTTTAAATAAAAATGTAATTTCCGATCTGGAAAAAAACAAATGTGATTGTCAAGAATAACACGACTCCTGTTTCTGCACACGTCTTTTTGGCTTGTTGTGCATTTTGTGTTTCACGATCAGTTTTGAGTTTTTTCCTGACTTTTTGACGTCTTCTGTCTCCCGTGTGTTTCCCAGTTTGTTTGCACACAGCTGACTGGGAACAACTGGATCCTCTGCCTGTATGAGTCTCTTCATTGTTCGAGCTGACGGCTGTCTGTGCTTCCTCTCACAGCTGCAGCAGCTTGTATGAACTGCAGACCACACTGCATGTTTGCTCTAGAAATGCAAATTCTATGTGTTTTTTTGGATAATTTTCTTTCGTGTGTCTGAAAAAAATGTGTCAATAATTAAATAAATGTAACAGAATTTGTTTTAGGTGTGTTTAATAAAGGCAGGAAATGTAGCTATTAAATAAAAATGGATGTCTGTGGTTTATTTGTGTTGAAGTGAAGCCAAAATCTTTGTGAAGAGAAGCCAGTTTTTAACTTGGCCAATTTCACCTGCTATTAAAGCAAACACAGTTTCGACTGTTTAACATTTCACTGGGTCACTCATCTGCACCTCTGCATTCACGCTCCTGCTGCCTTCTGAAAGATTTCTGAATGCAAATATCTGACAGAGAATAATTGCTCTCACGCAGCCCACTCTGTGAACTCTGTGCTCCAGTTTGATGATTAAAATGTAATAATAAGTTTTTAAAATCTGTTACTTTAATTAGTGAGCAGGTATTTGTGTCTGTGTGATGCACCTGTACACTTTATGGATGCAGCTTGCTAACCAATCTAATGCAATTATTGGCTGATAGCTTAGCATCTCAGCCTTTTATCCAGATACTACGTGACAGCAGCTCGTCACGTTCCTATGGAACGCCAGGACTGCCATAATGAATTAATTAAATACACCATTAAATAATTAATTAAATGTGGCAATAATTAATGAAAATCGGAAATAATTAATGACATAAATATTTACAACACATGTAATTAATTAATTATTGACACATTTAATTAATTATTGACATATTTATTTATTTATTTATTTATTCTTTCTTTATGTCTTGCCTTACTTTGCACGGCAACCAATCAAATGTTAGAGAAGCTGCATGGCAGCGTTAACCCCGCCCCCTGAGTTTGATGGGTGAGGTTGACAGATAAAATTATTTCGTGGTGAGACCTGAAGGAGTCAACT